AAAAAGGCACTTTTCAAAAAAAAAAAAAAAAAAAAAAAAAAACAGAAATGTTCACGTCGCACACTAAATACGTAAATATGGATACTGAGGTAGACTGTCAAGTAAAATGAATTTTTCCGTTTAGCAGAGGCGAGTGGATTAACGCGACGTCCAAGACGGTAAGTACGATAGGCGTAAGTACATTGTGTCCAAGTAATTTAAAAGGAAAATAAATTATCACCAAGGACAAACGTCCAAAAACAGTTCTCTGCGGTTCATTGCAAAAGGTAGTTAAAATAAAAAAAAAACATAAGTTAAAAAGCACGAAAAAATCGTTGTCGAAGGAAATTTTGGAAAATGGCGCAGTCATAAAATATTTTCAATTTTTGTTTTTTAACAGTCCTTCACACGAAATAGATAAAAACGAAATTATCAACGAGCAATGCATTTCCCGTTTGACGCGACGTCGATTCGCAACGCCAATTAAATTATTCGGAATGATAAGTGTCAAATAATTGTCAAAGCTGCCATTTAGGTACTTCGTTTAGCATCTGTTACATATAACCAGGAATTACGATCTGTACTGCCAGGCGCGTATCAAGAAAAATTTTCAAGGTACCATCCGACGACGAAGGGGGCCTCGCCCCTATTTTTTTAAGAGTATAAAATTTTCTTGGTCAGAGCCCGACAGTTCTACTCGTAAATTCTACATGCTCGCACAACAGTCATAACACATGAAAATTTCACACATCCCTCGTCACACTATCACAAATTAGTCTTGAAAAGATTGCTCGCGCGAATATGTATTTTTATTAATAGCGACTCCAGGACACGCGGCGATTAATTAATTCAGCACGATGGATTTGCGCACGAGGTAATTATCGATAAAAAACAGTGGGCGGTTCTTCAAACAAAATTTCGATTAAACATATCGATTAATTGATTCCAAATATCCCGCTCAAAACAGAATGGGAGAACGGAATAATAATAATAATAAAAAGCATGTTGGAGATAAAAATTGCAAACAGCCGTTTTTTTTTTTTTTTTTAAGTGAAGGCAGTAACGAGTGTATCGATATATGACGATTTTCTCCGAAATTAATGTAATTATCAAACATTTATTGACTAACGTAGTTCTGCTGCCAGAGATACTGTTATCAGTTTGAAAAGTATCCATATATGTATATGTTATATAGATTTACGGACTTTCACAAAAATCCACGTGTCCCGACGAATCCAGTATAAAGTAGATCATACCCATATTGAACATAAGACTGTTAACGTTGATTGGGACTAGCATCGACTCAGACTGGCTGCGTTACGTATTCGCGACAGAAGTATGCACGACCAAGAAAAGAACGTCGCGGACATGAGAACGCGACTTTACGTTATATAGGCGCGTGTACATATGAACTCGTAATTGCTATTACCAAACGGTATACAATCTCGTATCGCAGAATATACACACGTATATATCCATAGGAATATAAGGATATCGACAGAGATCGAAGCTCGATGTAACGCCGGAGTTCACCGTAACGACGGTAGATGGCGGGTCGATCGTCCCATAAAATTCCTCGATCGTCGACAGACAGAAGGAACGCGAATTTAACCTACGTCGTGTCTCGCGTAAAGTAATCGCGCGTGCACGTAAAAGTTGTATTTAAATCTTGGCAGTCTCCTGTTGAATGGCTATGGCGATTTGCTGATTGTGTTGCTGCGGCAGCTGTTGCTGCTGCATCTTGTAAAGCTGTAGAAACTCAGCGACAGAAAGTCGCGACATTTGGTTGGCCTGATTCTGTCCGATGGTGGAAGTGGCGCCTTGTGACGTTGGGCTCTCTGCTTCGATTTGCTTGATCTCGCATCCGGATTCGCCGCGACGAAGTGCCTGGACCATTTTCAACTGTTCCAGTGCTTCCTCGTAGCTGGGTAAACCCGACACCAACGTGTAAGACGGTAAGCTCTCATTGTCTGCCCCACGGCCGTCCATGTCTCTGGCAGCGGCTGCTCTTTGTTCGAGTACTGAAATCATAAATACGAAGAAGCCTATTATTAAACAGGGATTATTTTGACTTGGAATCAGTGTGACAGAAAGGGGATGGAAGGTCGGATGATCTTGGAATTAGGAATTAAACTGAATTGTATTTTTGGTTGCCTTTCGTCATTCTAGAAAAGTATACATAATGTATGTATATGGGTCTAGTCGTTATGAAGCAAATATAAAATATTACGCAGAAGATAAAAAAGTAGATTATTGAATCTTTTCAAAATACTCGTCTACGATTGGCTGAATGGCAAATGTCACGTAGCTGCACAAAGTACTTTCCGTCGCGAGATATGAAAGAGAGCGGACGACAGTTTGTCTTTGACAAACAGCGACGGACGCGCCGCCGCGGTAGCCGTCGGTACTAGTAGTCAGCGTTAGCCTATTGAATGCTCAGTGCATGTTCCTTTTGAATCGGGAGACAAAATCGTGACCAAGCGTTTGATTTACGGCTGATACCAACGACAATTTAAACAATGACATTACACGGGCTGTATCCAATGTTAAATCCCCTCGACATTCGCCGGCATTAAAATGTCCCAGTGAATCATTAATAAAGATCGTACCCTCGTGATTTTCCTCTACAGGCCCATATTCCTTATTGAATAATTCAATGATGAAGTATCCCGTGAGAAAGGAGGATCTCGGATTTCGTTAGAGATTCGGGAAAAATCTTATCCTTTCTTACGATCCCCTCGGCAACATATAAATTCGGGGATTTAATGGGAATTTACGTTTAATCATGGCTGCAGAGAAATATTGCGCAATCCTGACGCGTCGCAAAGACGACTGAATTACGGAGAATTAATATTTACCACGTACTCTCGTTTGGCGCTGTGCGGATAAGAAGTAATCAAGGTGCGATTGATAAATTTTAATTTTCCCGTAAACGAAATCACTCAAGATTCTACCGCATCTTACATATATACCAACTTAAAACTCGTAAATCGGATTTTTGTCGCGCATTAAAAATGACAATTTAATGAATACAGAAAAATCGACCCAAGGTCCCCCTTCTTCTTCGTACGACACTGAACGCAGTCACGTGACTTTTTTTACAATTTTTCCATCCTAAAACAGGTAATCGGAGTCGAATTTTTTTTCAAATAAAAATTATGAAAAAAAATTTCACAATATCATCCATATTTTATCGACAACTATCACCCCTCCCCCTCCCCCCCCGCAATCCCAAATACGCTGGTTCCTCCACACAACTCTCGAAATAATTCCAACACACTGTCGAGCAAGCAGTCATCCGCATTGCGCAGAATTCTCACGCTGTGAATTCCCATCGAGTTATAAATCTCAAGAAAAATAATCCCAGGTCCCCAGATAAACGTAAAGGATTTAGAGTCACTTGTTGGCCTGTTACTGCCAACCGTAAAGAGAATAAGTAGATACACTTTTTCACCTGAATGTCCATCCCGCATACAGCTTACATACTTGGTCATCCCTTTAAATAATAAATTGAAAAAAAAATTCATCTCACGACAATCGACCATAATAAACTAATAAAAAATCATGGGACTGATCGTTAATAAGGCCCAAAAAAAATATCGATATCAGACACGTTCCAAAATTTATTCTCGCGATACTCTTAAGATCCATCAGTCAAACCTCTCGACACGTAATTGTGATTGCCGCATAAGTACCCAACGTAAGGCCCAAAAGTCATACTCGTTCGTATCGGTATCCCCGTGGATTATATATATATATAAACATTCCTAATCCCGTCTAGACATCATATTATCAGCGTTCGAAAAGTCGAAAAAAAAATTGATCAATGTGATATACAATACTGACGTTATCTAACGATAATGGATATAGAATAAAAATAACCCGACCCGCCGAATCCTCTGATCCAAATAACCCTTCCCTATCCATACCGAGACAAGTGGATGAGTGATAATAAACTTTTTTGAAGTCCCAATCGATAATTCAAATTGTTTAACGAGTTAGCATGATTAGCCTATATCAGAGTAGCTTCTAGAACAATTACGTCAAGAGGAACAACCCACGGGATAAATCGAGTTACCTTGTAACGTTCCATTGTATTATAATGCCCACGGGGAAGTTTAAACACGTGGACGGTTCAAAGCCCCGATTGTTATCAGTAGCCACCCCCACTCGATGAGAATTGAAATTTCGACCTAATTTACCGGGCATTTCGGATCCTACCCTGTGAGCCAATATGTTGTGGCTGTACAGGGGATGGTCGCAGATACGGAAGGGGTTGGCTTTGACTTTTCGAAGGTTAATCAATGTACGGTTCGATGCTCGTTCTTTTTGAGCGGGCTGCTCGTAACTCTGAAGCGCCTCCAGGTTAAACCTGGTCTACCCGTTATAATCCATTCTCGTGGATAGAGTGCAAAAGTAATCCCCTGAGGGACCAACAGACCGAAGTGACTTTCGCTTTGGAGGGTCGAAACAATGATGGAGCTCATAAGGAAAAACTGATGTTAGCGTATAAACCCATACGCTATATATAACGGGTGGCGAGTTAATAAGGGTCGTAATTGGGGGATCAACATTCGTAACACGTTATTTGAAAAGACTCGAGGAGTGTTCAGCGTGGACGAGGGTGTTACGTCAAAAAATTAATTTTTAATTGGTAGTAGGAAAGTTCGTTAATAAATGACGGATCAGCTTGTCGTGGAAATGCTGGGAAATAAAAAATAAAATTTTAGTACTCGTACCAGTGCACTTGTAGCGTGGCAATGGATACCGTAGTACTACTGTAGGTGCTAGTGACAAATTTCTACCACGTTAAAACGACCACAGAGCCGTTTTCCCTGAAACTGCCTTTTTCGTCATTTATTCCAAAAAAAAACAATTTCCGGTCCCCGAATGATGTTCATGACTTAAAGTCCACGCAGTTGGACTACTGTGAGACGCGTTTCAATATTTGCAGGCAGAAATTGCGAATTTTATTTTTCGCGAACACGCGACTGGGTACATAGAAATAATCAGCGAACAACCTGTTCTTATGCCGCAGTGATTTAGCGTTGGTTAGCACCTCCTTGAGCATTGAGAAGGTTGAGAATAATTTAAAAGAGAGTGAAAATAATAACAGTGAGGTGACACGTTTCGTCATCCTGCGTCGCCGTGAGAATCCACGTATATCAGCGTGCTAATCGGTTTTGTATTTTGTATCCTTCATTTTTTTTTTTTTTTTTTTTTTC